TTTTTTTTGATAAGTAATCACGTAATTTAATAAATGAAATCAAAAGATAATACACAAGGAGTACATTTTCAGTTTAAACAAGATAAAAACGATAAAAAATTCGACAACCCTTCTATCGGACTAATGGTTATAGCCTTAAACCAACTATACAAAATCAAATAAAACAATTCCCTAAATTGCTCTGTCATCCGTATTTGATCTTCAAAGCATCTGCCGTTTCGTTCTCCCCACACACACCAAACGATGTATCCTAAAATGAGATCCCAAACAAACTTGCTATTCTTATCTCGAAACTTTCTCTTCCATGCCCACCCTCCCAACTTTTAATAAAACTAGAAGCATAGACTAAGTCATACATGACATTCAACTAGGTCACAAAAAGTGAAGTTTACTCGATTAAATAACGAATTAATATTAAGATAGGATAGTAAACCTGGAATTCTCCAGGGCGAATATCCTTCCTTTTAAATGCATATCGTGGCTTTATCTGCAGTTTCAAATGTAAGGAGGGGAAAGGGAAAAAAAAAAGCATATTACAAAATCGGGTTATCTTATTAATTATGTCATCATGCAATTCCAGAAGAAAGAGGAGAGAAGGGAACAAACTCACGGAAATGCCTTTCTGTTCCAAGCTTTTCAACAAGCAATCTGTAAGAAATTCACCCCCGATGGGAGATGTTGCCACAGCCTATAGCAAACATAGAGAAAAGTAACAAGTCATTAGAAGGTTGAAAACAAAGATGAATGTTATTAGCTGGTTCAGGTGTTGGAAAGTTATCCACATGGCGTGAAGTTGGACAAACATTCGTAGCCTTTAGAGTCTCTCACGGGCTCCATAATATAGGACCATATTTGAAACAAGATGGATCCAAGGGTAGTGTGTAACATCCGGAAACAACTGAGATAGCCATTAGAATTGAATTTAGCGGCTAGAAGTAATTTTTTTTTCATTTGGAGACCTAATTAAATGTTAACCTATTAGGACCATGGAGCAATTTCTTTTATACATGTGCAGATTTTTCCTTGGCTAAATCTTAGTAATATGATTGCATGATTGATTTAAATATTGTAAGTGAATTAACCTAATTAATTGGTTAATAATTATAATTAGAGAAACTTTCATTTATTAAAATTAGAAGTATTATTTATGCTTGTATAATTAGCAATCTAATAATGTTATATGGTACGTTAGAATATTTATTTTGGCATAATTTAAATCAAATATTTAAATATATGGTAATAACTTATTAGTAGCAATTATATATTTATTAATATAGTTAATTGGGTAATTAGTTGAGTGATTGATTACACTCTATATGGAAAAACATGCGATATTGATAAGGGAATGAATGTTTGTACTAAAATAGGTAATATAGTCAAACCTTAGAAACCCCTATTTATACCGCCTCATATTACTTACACTCGCTCACAACTAAACTTATACCTTACAGATTTCTTTCGTTTAANGATCTCCACGATTTGCTTTTATCTTATTCTATACAACTGTAAATGTAGTAGTATGTATTATTCTTTCATTATTTAAATTACGGAAATTTATGTTATGAATATGATGATACGAAAATCTAAATTATGATTATGATAAGAGTCCTATATGTGTAAGTTCAAAGGACCGGAGTTTAGTAGCGCTACTAGTGTTCTAAAATTCTTCAAAATGCGGCGCCTAGGCGACAAAAACGGGTCGCTTTTGTGGTATGCGCGTAAAAATGCGGTCAACAGTTTTTGTTGACCGCCTAGGCACGCCTAGGCGTCTCAATGCGCGCTAATGCGTGCATAGGCACGCATTAGGTCACCTACATTTTTTTTTTCGGATATAATATAAAAAATTATTTTTTTAATATAAAAATCTATTTATTATATTAAAATAATATTAAAAGTACGAAACGCATTATAACGCATATTCTCCGCCTTGACACGCTTAAACTTGTGATTCTTGATCCTCGATCTCGACGCATCGCAACGCATTACGCATTTTAGAACACTGAGTGCTACACACGAGAATTATAGCCATGAAGTTAGAATTTTAATTCCCCGTGTCTCCATATGTATGTTATGATTTTCCGCATTTAAATATGAGATGAAATTCGTTATTACTCATTTACGAAGATTTATGTCTCACACGTATATGTTAAACCTTTTATATGTAACAAAAAAGGTAGGTTCGAGGCAATCGGAGGCGGATGGTGCTTGCGTTGGTGAAAAATGAAGAATAAGTTATGTGGTTAAAGATTTTAATAATGCTCATTGTATATTAAGAAAACATTATCCTTTTTTTATTATGAAAGTACTCTTTTACGGTACATGTATAATGATTTCAAAGATAAAATTTAGGTCGTTACAGAGTGGACTTAGCGTGGATTCTCAGGCTAGATTCCAGGTGATACGGGAAGAATTGCATTAGTGCCATGAACGATAGCTTTTGGGTGAAGTGGTGGCAGAGAATAATCAAATTGAGTTCATGAATTTCCCTAGGTCGGTTTATCAGTCAATAAAGGACTTTAGCTTTTAAAACCATTGGAAGGGGCAGTGCAAGAAAAATCATAGAGAAATGATCGAATCTTCGGACACCCGAAAAACTATAAGGTGCTTGAAAATGATCAAAGTAATTGATAGAATGATTGCTATGGCTATAGCCCTTGGTAAATTTACAAAAGACGAAAATAATTTATTTGATATTATGGATGACTAGTCATCACTCTATTAGGTATAGAATAGTTTGCAAGGAAAAGCAAACTCTTATGGGGCAGATCATAACTCATCTATTTGATGGCATAAGAAAACCAATTGGTATAGAGTCGAAGATCTTCCCAAGATTGAAGTTAGTAATCAGACCTTCTCTCATTACCAAATTTTGGTATATGCAAAGAAGTTTTTGCTTATTTTATATCAAATTCTTATTTCAACCATTGATCACAAATAAAATTTGTATTCCTCAAGTAAAACTAAATAAATACAACAGCAAAAAAGAGATTTTTGTTCTACTTCTTAAATGCCTAATTTATTTAGAGACAATGAGTTATGCACAAAAGATCCAACTACGTTCCAACTTTAGTAGTTTTGGTTTCCTATGATAAAGAAGAAACGTATGTGTCATCATTCAGAAAATCACAAACGATGCACCTGCATGTTTTATGATTAAATATGACCTTTCTAATACAAATAGATAGACAAAACTTCTGGTCATTAAATTAATTTAGTCCCTAGACAAAGTTAAGCTTAAATTTAGCTTTTGGCAAAAAAAAAAAAAAAAAAAACTGCTTAAATTTAGCTTTTGGTAAAAAAAAGATGAAGATATCAAGTAACTATAGCACTACGAATATCTTTTAACATTGCTCAATTACACTAGTACTATTCAGTATATATCTAACAAACTTCGTATAATTCGTATTGCATCTTCCATTGTTTTATTCAATAATAGTTAATAAAGTTGCAATATGGACCAATATTAATTTTTCTAAAAAAGAGCTGATTTTTCATGTATTTCCATTTTTACCAAATTCTAACTTGATAAGAGTGACAAAGGAGCTCTGTCAAAGAATAAAGGGCAAAATATAATTTCCAATTTGATATGAAATGACCTCATATCCAAAATAATATAATTAGTTCAAAACAAATATTTAACTAACAATTCCACATTTGGTTAAAAGGAGTACCTTCTGAAGAACATATCCATCATGTACCGCAGCCACGGTAGTTGACCCTCCACCACTGTATCAACCAACAGTTTCATGAGTTAGTAAGTACTCTTATTAAAATCACACATGAAAAATTAAAGAAAGAAAATAGATGACTGAAATTTTTGGTTGCTATAAAGTAAAAAACTTAAATTGCATGCAGGAAGAATAAGTCATAAGAACAAAAACATGGATATCATATCTTATTTAATTTCTCCTTGTACGGACCTTTTCAATTTCACTATCACCTTATCCATGCAGGTTATACTTAATTTTCAGTTGCAACTTTGAATACAAGAGCAATCACTAACTCCTACTTTGTTCAAAAGATAGGTTTTAAGAATAAACAAAGTTAAAAATTAATTTTCAATTATTATATACTTGAGCAATGTACAGCATATAGGGACCAGTTTTACCGAATATTTGTTGGTATTTTAAAGTTCCTATCAGTTGTGGACCTTAAAGAATGTGCGAATAATGAGTGGATAGTAAGTTGTGGATCCCTATGAAGAGCATGTTTGGTAGTGCTTATATTAAAATTTAAGTAATTATAAGCTATTGGTCCTATCAAATGGATATATAATAAGTGGATAGTAGTTGTGGACCCTACAAAATGTGTACATAAAAAATACGATTGACTAACTTAAATTATAATTTAAGTTTTGCCAAACCTACACTTAATGTATTATCTGGATACGCCCTGTATGGTTTTATAAACCCTATGGGCACAAAGGTAATCCAAAGTGTATTTAAAAAACAAAAAAACAATTGAAAGAGCACGAGTCATCAGGAATTGAGCATCAATAGAGCCTCGATCAAGTTTACAACAATGGCAACAAACACAATCCTTAGGCCCTGTTTGAGACACATTATTTTTTTCATTATCATTCTTCTACCCATTTTCAACAACACATTTTTCAATAAAATAATATTTTTCATCACATCAATAACTTTTCCTTCTTTTCAACTACATATTCCCCATCACATCTAACAAAAAAATGCATTCTTGTGGAAATAATGTGGCTCAAACAGGTGCTTAATATGCAATGGGGTAAAAGCTCTGCCAAGAAATAGGTAAGGGTGGTGGCAAAAAGTTCCAAAAGCCCAATAATGCTGTCCTAAAGTGGAAGTCACTGTCAGTAAAACATTACATAACACAGAAGGCAAGAGGTGATAATTCAACAGTTGTGTATGAGCTGGAACCTGTCAACAATTAAAGAGGTTGCACGGCCTGATGCAAAAGATGTGAGTACCTAGCAAATAGTGAGTAAATAGTTAATAAAGAGTCTCAAATAAATAGGAAGTAATGCAACAATTGTTTTATAAATGTGCTCAAAAATATTTTCCTTTAAATCAGATAGCAAGATAGACACGAGAGCTCACAGCATTTTTGGCCAAAAATAATGCAGGAACTTGGTATTTTTCAAACATAATCTCTGCAGCTCTGTCAAACATGTCATCAGTCAACAGTTAGTAATTAGCATAAGCAAAAACCAATAAAATGTGAACCGTAGAACAAAATACAGTATAATCAACTGGGAATGAAGATTACAATGTAATTGAAGTTTTGCAGTCTTAATGCCAACAGAAAATAAATTAAGCACTCGTTTGGCCCCCCATTATTCCACATTATAACAAGAGAAATAGTAATTTTTTGGAGGATGTATAATTAAGAAAGAAGGAATTTTTTTTTTTAATTTACGTGTAATATTATTTTATTGGAGAATGTGTGGTTGATAAGAAAAGAGAGAAAAATGAATTATAATTTAACGAAAAATAATGGAAGCCCAAACGGGGGCTAATTTTTCTTTTTCTTTTTTTTTTTCTTTTGAATTCAAAATTTGCTCTCACGTATTTATATAAGAGCAATAGTTTGTGGGAGTGGACTGTTAAGAGCTTAAGGTCTTTGTTAAAGGGTATTTATGTCTTTTATGTGATGCCTAGGGTTTCCTAAGGTTTTCCTAACTCTTATTATAAATAGTGGGACAGGCTAACACAATTGTTAAGCCTTCTAATTCTTTTACTTTAACAGTCTTTTAGTACAGAGACAGTGAGAGGAAGAGGGGTAATATATTGATGTATCCTTTCAAATTTATCCAACCATCAACTCACAAAACATTTAAACTGAAATCAAGATGACTTAGTACACATTAACTGACTCACAATTGACCAAAGAATCCTTCCTCCTCTTTATTCTTATCTCACGCCCCTTCAAACAGCATACAGTCTATAAACGGTTTCCCATCCATGAGAATTCTCAACTCTCAAAGCAAGAGGGGAATATATTTGGTGCCTTTCCATTGATAACTATTACTACAATGGCATCAGAAATTCTATACCTAATTGCGAAAGTCAATCGGTATGATCACAATACTAAATAATTAATATAAAAAATAAATAATGGACGTATGATTGTCCTTGAGTAAGCCAAGTTTAGATGTATCAAAAACAACACCTTCAATATACACATAAGCCTTTAAACACCACAAAGCTCCTCCATCATAATTGTAACCATCTCAGCTGCCAGCAGGAGTTCCTCGAAATTTTGACTTACAGCCCATGAGATTTCAACAGAACAAACCAAGATACTATGAATATTCCACACTGCTAGACACTGTAGCAACAGATCATCAGTATGGTCCCTTCCTGAACATATTGAAGGGCCCACAGGAATGCATCATGAGTAGCTTCCCAGGCAAAATCTTAACACTAAATGGGCACTAAATTCTAAATGTTCCTCGCAAAAATGAGGCAGTTGGTATTGTATATAGTTTTGTGCAAATATTACTGCCATGAGAAAGAATCACTTAATCTTCCTGTCTACCCAATCAACTGCAACTCCTATTCAATGCAGATAGCTAAAAACAGAAAGGAGCGAGTCTAATTTCAAATACTATAAAGCCATAGTGCAAAGGGAAGCAATTAAACTGCTGTACAAAAGATTAATAAAGAGAGTGCAATAGTTTTCAAGGGAAACAAGCCTCAAGGATCTTAGGAAAACATGAGCATTCAAATTCTCATACATTACTGAAAAATCTCAAATAAGCTTCTGTTACAAAAATGATAATGAGCTGTCTATAGTATAAACATCAATGTTGTCCTGATATGACAATAAACAAAATACCCTCGGTGATGTTCACACAAGACAGTATTTTTACTTGCTAGTGGAGATAGATTTTTTTTAGAAAATTCAGGTCATAAACAAAATCAAGAGCCAGATGTAGGCAGTAGGCATGTGAAGACCTTAGGAAGCCTCTTAAATAACCTGCCCGAGTTATTATTCGTTACCAAATTTCAACTTCTCATGATTGATATGATGTTCAAACAATCCTTCCGATCCTTCTTTGTGTTTCACCTTCCTTTGTCCTTCAACCTGCACAGCATTCTAAATTGGCATGGCAAGTAGCTCCTCCATTTTTCATTTGCTAGCCTTCATATCTTTGTGCATTACTTTAGAGAAGCAACTCCAAAACTTAAAGCAACAATACCATCTTAACAAAAAGTAAGTCAGCTATCATCCTTCTTAATGTTCATATTGTCAAATCGCATGACCATCTAAACTGTCCTCCCAATCAAAAAGCATTAATCCAATATGCAAAGATAATGTCAATGTTTCAGACCATAGCTTAATACCATCAATATAAGGAAGTAGCAATATAAATCAACTATAATGACTGGAACAAGGCTCTTTTAAACTTCTGTCAACATTTGGATGGTAATCCTCTCGAAAAAGCTAATAAAAGTTAATGTTCACCATTAAAAGTAAATATTCCATGGTTTTCATAGCGTGGAAATGAAGCTCCAAAACAGAAGTTTTAGTGTAGTACATTAACCTTCCAACATTTGCGGACGCGATAGAAATTCACGAATGGTAAAATGGATTCGGACTGATGTACTCCATCACAACTACAATTGATAATTTCACTTTATCTAGGAGTTTGTCTTTTTTAAATTATCTTTTCTAATTTCCTTTTCTAATTGTAATAAGTTTATTCTTAAATTTTATTTAGATTATGATTAGTTTATTTCCTTTTAGAATTTAGTTTCCTTATTTTAATTTCCTTTTATTAATAGGATTAGGGATAATTTGGCCTATAAATATAGAGGTATTGTACACTTTTTATTCAATCAATCATATATCAATACAAAGCAAGTTTATTCCAATATAATTCTTATTTTCAATTCTTATTACAAGAATTTCTAAACGCTTCCGCACCAAAATTGGTATCAGAGCAAGGACTTCACCTCAATCTGATGGCTGAGGACGGTTCGAGTGGCAAACAAACCACCGACAACGAACGGAGGTTTGAAAAAATTGAGCAACGACTAGAAGGGATGGATGAAGCTCTTCGCAATATCACGCAGATGCTAACTGCGATGACTATTGAGAAGCATCATGCACCCAGGGCAGAACAGACGGGTGGGCAGAAATATGTACAAAGAGATATCAACTCAGATTCCGACGATGAGGAAGAAGATGCAAATTTGAATGTAAGAAATCGTGGAGTTCCAGCAAGAAGGGAGACGCGCCCTATTACCCAGCCCCACGTCGACCCAGGTGTGGGGGAAGGACTCCGGCCTCTTGCAGATAATCGACTTCGGCAGCAGAACCCAGAAATCCATGATCAAGTTGCCTGGCGCGCGAACCCAGTCGCGAATCGCGACCCTTGCGAGGCTGCCCCTCTACGGTTCTACGAGCGAAGAAACAGGCGAGATGAAGGTAACCTCCGGCGAAAGGTTCCAATCGGCGGCGACGAGGAGCTCAGTGACCGACCGCGAGCTCCGACGAAAAATCTTGAGCGAGAGGCAGAGACGCGATTTAATTTCAGGGAAGGAATCAATTTTGACCCACACAATTTTGACCGTGGTTACAATGTTGACCGAGGAGTTAATTTTGATCGAGGTCCTAATTTTCAGCCGAGGGATAGAGGCTTTCAACAAAGAAGGCCACGGGGTTTCGATTATTCATCCGAAGAAGAAGATAATTTTCGACCAAGGGCTAATAATCGGGGTACAAATGTTCAAGAATTTAAGATGAAGATGGACTTGCCAAGTTTTGACGGCCGATTAAATATTAAAGTTTTTTTGGATTGGATCCATACCGTCGAAATTTTTTTCGACTATTTGAATATCTCGGAACAAAGCCAAGTTAAGCTCGTGGCGTATAAATTAAAGGGTGGAGCTTCGGCATGGTGGGAACAACTTCAATTTAATCGTCAACGACAAGGAAAACAACGTGTGCAAACTTGGCCCAAGATGAAACGGTTATTGCAAAGACGATTTCTCCCCCCAGATTATGAGCAATTTTTGTACCAGCAATATCAGAATTGTCGACAGAACAATCGAACAGTAAACGAGTACACAGAGGAATTCTATCGTTTAAATGCCCGAGTTAATTTGTCTGAAACAGAAGCTCAATTAATTGCTCGATATATAGGAGGCCTAAAATTAGTCATTCAAGATCGACTAGCTCTTCAAGAGGTTTGGACCATGACAGATGCAGTCAATTTAGCAATGAAAGTGGAAAATCAGATGAATAGGACCACAGCCCGTACTCAAGGCAATTTTCGACGACCAATTCAAGAAACTTATTCTACTCCAAAGGGTGCAACGACATCAGGCAACAATAATAATAACAGTAAGGGTACCACGCCAATTCAGAATTCGGCACAGAATCAAAATGGAACTTCAGCTCCTGTTCAATCTAACATCCAAAACAGAAACCAAGCACAGCAACGAACAAATAATGACCCTTATGCGCGTCCTAATCTTGGAAAGTGCTATCGGTGTAACCAACCAGGACATCTTTCAAATAGCTGTCCAAACAGGCGATCCATTAACATTGTAGAAGAGGGCGAAAGTGATGAAGAACAAAATTTTGAAGATGGTGACTATGAGGGTGGTAATGTTGCAGATGCAGATACTGGGGAAGAGTTGGCGTGCATTGTCCAACGCCTTTTACTTGCACCCAAAAAGCCTGATAACTCACAACGACACAAAATCTTCCGGACTCGGTGCACTATTCGTAGTAAGGTATGCAACGTAATCATTGACAGCGGTAGTAGTGAGAACGTCGTTTCCAAAGCAGTGGTAAAAGCTCTAAATCTGAAGACTGAGAGACACCCTTCTCCATACAAGATTGCATGGATTAAAAAAGGCCCAGAAGTTCAAGTTCTAGAAATCTGTAAGGTTCCTTTGTCGATTGGGAAATATTACAAAGATGAGATCATGTGCGATGTGGTGGATATGGATGCTTGTCATATATTATTGGGTCGTCCATGGCACTATGACGTTGATGCCACTTATAATGGGCGAGATAACACTTTCATATTTTGGTGGTTTGATAAGAAGATCGTTTTAGTACCACAATCTCAACCTTTGGAAAATAATCCTGCTATCAAGGAAGATAAGCCACTTTTTACCAATATATCAGACCCAGAATTCTTCGACCAAGTAAAAGAGTCGAGCACTATATTAGCATTAGTAGTTAAAGGTCACTTGGAAGCAAATATACAGATTCCGGCCAAAGTTCAAAAGTTAATTGCTGATTTTGCTGATATAGCACCTGATGAGTTACCAAGCGAGTTGCCCCCTATGCGAAACATTCAACATCATATTGATTTGGCACCTGGAGCTAGTTTGCCTAACTTACCACATTATCGAATGAGCCCAGTTGAACATGAAGAGTTGCAGCGACAGGTTAATGAGTTACTTGATAAAGGATTGATCCGTGAAAGTATGAGTCCTTGTGCAGTTCCCGCTTTACTCACTCCAAAGAAGGATGGCAGTTGGCGAATGTGTATAGACAGTTGTGCTATTAATAAAATAACAATCAAGTATTGCTTTCCCATCCCGCGTCTTAATGATATGCTCGACAGATTACAAGAGACAGTGGTATTCACCAAACTTGATTTAAGGAGTGGCTATCATCAAATCCGTATTCGAACTGGCAACGAGTGGAAGACAGCTTTCAAAACCAAGGATGGTCTCCATGAGTGGTTAGTGATGCCATTTGGGCTGTCGAACGCACCAAGCACATTCATGCGACTAATGAACCAAGTTCTTCGTCCTTTTGTGAGAAAATTTGTGGTGATTTATTTTGATGATATTCTTATCTACAGCAAGAATGAAGATGAGCATTTGTCACATCTTAAAGAAATTCTCTCCGTCCTACGAGATAATAAATTGTATATCAATCTCAAAAAATGCATATTTATGACTGATCAACTTTTATTTCTTGGCTTTATGGTGGGAAAAGATGGTATCCAGGTTGATGAAACAAAGGTGAAAGCAATACGCGAATGGCCAGCTCCTAAAACCGTGAGAGAAGTTCAAAGCTTTCATGGACTAGCAACTTTTTACAGGGGTTTCATTCGAGAATTCAGTGCAATCATGGCACCTATTACCGATTGCTTGAAAAATGGTCAATTTCAATGGGTAAAGCGCAAGAAAATATTTTTGAGGCAATAAAAACCAAGTTATGCACTACACCGGTGTTGGCACTACCTAATTTCGAAAAAGTAATTGAAATTGATTGTGATGCTTCAGTCATGGGAATTGGAGCAGTATTATCTCAAGAAGGTCGCCCAGTCGAATTTTTCAGTGAAAAGGTTAGTGAGTCTCGGCAAAAGTGGACTACTTATGAGTTAGAATTTTATGCCGTTATCGGGCTTTAAAACATTGGGAACATTACTTAATACAACGAGAATTTGTGTTATTTACGGATCATCAAGTTTTGAAATTTATCAATTCTCAAAAAACAATGAATCAAATGCACGCTCGGTGGATCACATTTTTACAGAAATTCACTTTTGCTATAAAGCATAAATCAGGCCAACAGAATAAAGTAGCAAACGCTTTAAGTCGACAAGCATCTCTTTTAGCTACAATTAGTACAGAAGTAGTTGGGTTCGATTGCTTAAAGGAACTTTATGCAACTGATACGGATTTTGGCGATATATGGACTCGATGCAGTAATAGAGAATTTATACCCAATTACCTACTTCAGGAAGGATTCTTATTTAAAGGAACGCAATTATGCATTCCTCGTTCTTCTTTGCGTGAGCACTTGATTCGAGAATTGTATGCATGCAGATTAGGAGGACATGTTGGTCGAGATAAGACAATCAGCTTGGTTGAAGAAAGATTTTATTGGCCCCAGCTATAAAGAGACATTGGTCGTTTTGTTCAGCGTTGTCCAATATGTCAGAAAGCTAAGGGACAAGCTCAAAATACTGGACTCTATACCCCATTATCTGTTCCAGAAACAATATGGCAAGATCTCACTATGGATTTTGTTCTCGATCTTCCACGAACTCAACGAGGAGTTGATTCTATTTTGGTTGTAATTGATCGATTTTCGCAAATGGCTCACTTCCTTCCTTGTAAGAAAACTGCAGATGCTTCTTACGTGACTAATTTATTTTTTCGTGAGATCGTTCGCCTATACGGCATTCCTCGTTCTATAACTTTTGATAGAGATGTCAAGTTTCTAAGTCACTTTTGGAGGACACTGTGGAGAATATTCGACACTTCTTTAAAGTTTAGTAGTGTGAGTCATCCACAAACGGATGGACAAACAGAGGTGGCTAATCGAACTCTTAGCAATATGATTTGAGCAGTCAGTGGAGATAAACCAAAGCAATGGGATGTTGCCCTTCCACAGATTGAATTTGCTTTTAATAGTATGCTTAATCAATCCACCAAGAAGACTCCATTTGAAGTCGTTTAGACTAGTGTTCCAAGACATACAGTAGATTTGATTCGACTTCCGAATGTCAATTCTAATGCAGAAGAATTTGCTGAACGTATTCAAAAAATTCATCACGAAGTAAAACAAAATTTAGAAGATGCTAACATTCATTACAAGACTGCTGCAGATCAACATCGACGTCTTAAGCTGACGAAGGTGATTTGGTGATGATCCATCTCCGCAAAAATCGTTTTCCTGTTGCCACTTACAATAAGCTTAAAGATAAGAAGATTGGTCCTTTTCGCATTCTTCAAAAGATTGGTGATAATGCTTACAAAGTTGACCTTCCCGCTAATATGGACATTTATAATACTTTCAATGTTGCTGATATCTTCGAATACTTTCCTCCAGATGAGTTTTCCTTACACCCACAAAACTCGAGGGCGAGTTTTATTCAAGTGGAGGAGATTGATGTAGTACATCACAACTACAATTGATAGTTTCACTTTATCTAGGAGTTTGTCTTTTTTTAAATTATCTTTTCTAATTTCCTTTTCTAATTGTAATAGGTTTATTCTTAAATTTTATTTAGATTAGGATTAGTTTATTTCCTTTTAGAATTTAGTTTCCTTATTTTAATTTCCTTTTATTAATAGGATTAGAGATAATTTGGCCTATAAATATAGGGGTATTGTACACTTTTTAATCAATCAATCATATATCAATACAAAGCAAGATTATTCCAATATAATTCTTATTTTCAATTCTTATTACAAGAATTTTTAAACGCTTCCGCACCACGGACTCTCTCAAAGTGAACAATACATAAGATATATCGGCTTGGGCACAGAGGTCCGGGTCATTATAGTCACTTTTCCTGTGATGAATTGATCTCACAGTCATATATTGGAGGTCGTCATGACTTATCTTGCGGTTGCTTTCTGAACATATCGTCTCAAAACTTTTATTGAACATGTTACATTCACCAGAATTTGCAAAGATCTCAAAAAGAGACGCTAGTACATTCACTCAGTTACTAAGTTTCATCAAGTGTTCCTTAATGCTTTTTTAGGACTTCAAAACAATGATAAGATATGACCTTCCAAAAAAACTCAATTCAAGATTTCATTAGACACCAGCTTACTTTTTCAGAACATGAGATTGTTTCTTCATTGTGAACTCAAATTTCCTTAAGCCTAACTTGTGGTACATCTAGTTCATCTAGTATGCTAAAACTTCTCTACTGGACCTGAGAAACTTCCATACAGACAGCAACAAGTTTCTGCCACTGAAGAACCTGAAAACTTTGAAACAACTACTCAACCATACATCTTACAGCTAACATCTCTACAGCTTCTAATTTGTGTCTTCTACCTATGAAGCCCCCGTTTGACCCCCATTATTTGTAATTTTAATGGTAGGAATAATGTTTTTTTGAAAAATGTGTGGTTTAAAATGAAGAAAAGATTTTGGGATTATGTGTCATATTATTTTATTAGAGAATATATGATTGATAAGAAAAGAGAGAAAAATGAATTATAATTTTGATGGGGGCAAAACGGTGGTGAAGCTTGCTCTATTAAGGCAAACCATGGAAACTAGTTGAATGAAGCAGAAACATGGATTTGGTGCAGGAAAAGCAGTAAAACAGACTAATGAAGAGAAAGTGCAACGGTGAGAAATTCGCTTCTAGGATTTAAGGAAGGCCAAGCGAGCTCATAATGTCATATTTTACCAAAAACTCAAGTGGGCAGATATGTGACAAAATGATATTAAATGTTTTATAGTGATTAAAAAAAACAATTTTACCCTAATATGATAGAAGACAAAAATAAACTTGATGCTTCTAGTAACTGTGCTACTATTAAAATCAAAATGAACTTGTTGCTATGTATAAAAAATTCTAACTAACAAATCATAAGGAAAATGAAGAGCTCAAGTCTCTAGCGGGCCAATAAGGATTAAGGAGTCTTACTAGACCTATTTTTCTTTTTCACACATCTGCACTGAACATTTTGCACTAGATTGACTCAAGGCATTACTTTTGTTTCACATTCGAACTTATCCACTCCTGTATCAGAGATTAAGGAATCTAGTTTTAAGCTTCTCTTCTCCAAGCCATTATTCTGGAAAGTCTTCACTGTCATATGTCATAAATTACAAACTTAGCAAATTTATCCTACCCACCTCTTCAAGGACATTTCACCTAAATCTTGAGTACTTTAGATAACCATGTGTATAGATGTTATATATGTTTCCTACCACGTCCCCAAATTTTGATTCAACATCAGACTGAAAGTGATTTTAAAGTGGATTATGTTTAAAGATAGTGACAATTAACTGCCCCCCGGAAGGAAAACTGGAAAGATTACCAGTGGACAAATTAACAAGATGCATGGTAAAAATTATAATATTTAAAAGTTAAAACAAATAATCACTTAATTGAGATACAAATGCCACAAAGAACAACTGCATAGACTCATGCTCTGGATGGGTTTTACTTTTTGTATTAGATGGGAGCCAGGAAATTTAAATGCCAAAAAAAAAAAAACAAGAAAGTATGCAGACACAGGAGTACAAGTCATGGAACCACTAAAGTACTTCAGACTTTTAGTTAGCTTACTTTTCTCTCTGTTGTTGGGTATTAGAACATGGCTCAGCAAGTAGCATGGGATGCTCTTTTGGATCAATTAACAGGCATTTCCTACAATTTAAAACATTGCAATTATGAAATTACATGTCAAAAATATCGAAAATGCATAAAACCTGTTAACAGAGAACTGTAGGCTTCAACACCTGGACAAAGCTACTGCTAAAGTACTGAAAAGCTGGAAATCATAAAGATTTGTTAGGTGAACAAAGAATTACCTCAAGGCATGGTCCCATATGCTTTCAACCATATCCCAGTCAATAACTATTCCATCCTTGAAGGGTGACAGCACCTGATATTTCAGTGGGCTCTATGATAGTACTCAAGAACATAGAACGATAACCAAATCTTTAAAAACCTGTGTGCAACTAAACCAACTAACCTCCATGTGATCGCGTCGGAATCCCAAGTCTTGAGATCCTACATAAAACTTGCGCTTACCCTTGGATTTGGTATCAGAAGCAGATCCTGAATTCTTGTCAGGAATATCAGGTTCATCAACTTCCATTTGATCAATTGATCCAACAACCTAATCCAAGACATATTAATACAAAGATAAAGGAAAGAGTAAATTCAATCAAAAATTAAAATCCTACGGATTTGTAAATAATGAAAAGAATTAGAGTAACACGTTACGTGTGGAACTAGAAATGATGCCTATACCATACAAATTAGTCCAACAATTTCTTTCCTTTATATTTCTTTTTCCTGGAAATACCTTACGGAAGAGGTGAGGCTGACCTCAAGTTAATCCTTACAGATTCTAGACGTGATCTCTACTCTTTCTTATTTTCTTGTTTGTAGTTCGGAAAATCCATTTTTCTTTCTTTTGAATAAGAAACTTGAATTTATTAATTATATAAGCATAACTAAATTTGTTAGAAGAACAAGCAGACAAGGAATCTTCTAACCATCCATCAGTATAAAGTCAAGTCAACAAGAGAAAGGGGTGCTCTTGAACTCCTTATACATAGATATCAATAGGAATGATTGAATCTCATGTGTGTCTCATTATTCAGAAACTTCTAGCTCTTTTTCTTCAAAGATCTCATTGTTCTCTCTCGGTTCACAATTCCAGATCAGCCAAAAAATTGTTCAAACTATTGATTTTTACATGATTTCACACCCATTTTACACTTATCAAAGTCAATTATATTTCCATTACGCCTGCTCATGATTAGTCGATAAAGATGCCCTAATTTTCATTTTTCTCAGTTCAGAAGAAGTCCTTGAAACATTCTCATGAATGACTAATAAAGATGTTGAAGTATAAGATCTCACTTTCCTCAAATTTCATTGAATTAATTATATCTTTTTTAGTGAACGAACCAATCGAAATTATGGGGCTATTCTAAGGAAATTAAAGAATACAAAGTCTTAGAAATAAATAAGCAAGTTGTCATGAATCAGTCCAACCTTCACATAAACAAATTATATCCCCTGCCCCAACATCCTATTTTGTCAACTGAATAAAAGAAGTAATCTATAGATATGAGTATCTAAGGGAACCCCTCACAGATCTTCTGGAATCCCAATCATTTTGGTTCAAACCATACTGTCTTCTTGCCACTCTACTTCAGGAAGGAAAACTCCAAAGCTGTTTTCCAAGCAGAGCCAAGCTTTTTTCTAAGATTTGCAACTCCTAAACCACCTCTACTTTACTTCTTGCTACAAATTCCAAGCTACAATAAACATTTTGAACATCCTCGCCCTGCAGAAAGTCTATCTTAAGTTACTCAAGAATATCCATAAGTTTACTTGGCATCCTGAACTTACAGCTTGTAAATTTTAAATTGTTAAATAGATAGAAATGAGTGGTAGAGAATTTGGTAGCACTTGTAGGTCTGACGAAAATGTAGATAAAAAGTGGTTTGACTGTTAATAAACATTAGCCAAATATGAGCTGAGACATGGAAATAAAATAAAATAAAAATTTGAGAAAACCTATTGGATATGAGTTAATCTTCCCTCCCAAGGAGACCCAAACGCTATGGAAAATAGATAATCCTCCCAGAGGAAAGCCTACAAATTGTAAAGGCCACAAAAATCTGGAAAATTCTTTCACCTGCCATTCAACATTCTGTGCTTCTTTCCGCTCACTTATATTGCTTCAAGTTCAAAATTTTCAACTACATTCAAAGGGCAAATCTTCCACCTACTTCAAACAACTAGTTTAATTGGGGCAATGGCCCGTTTCCTTTTTTTAGATCGATGGTCCGTTTCTTAATCGAGCACTCAAAGATAAACACGAACAGATGGAAAAACTCCAGGAACCAAAACAAAAGTTCAAAAACAGAAAAAAGAAATTTTATAAGAGAATTGGTAGGCTCACAGATGGAAAAACAGCTTTGGGCGCATCTTCACCAGCATAACCAGCTTTGCAGGTATGCGAACCCAAGTCCACCACTACAGCCGAAACTTCATCTGCAGTAAAAAAAAGGGTAAAATTATACCCAAGTTTTGTGTAAACATGTAAATGTGTGTGTGTATAGGAGATTCTGCGAGATACACTGACCTCCCCCGTACATAATTGTGGGTTTTTCCGCTCCTTCGTTTTTTTTGCCTAGTGAAGCAGACAACGGGGAGTCAATTGGGGTTTACAAAGGTAAAATGTGCCACCGGACGAATTTATTTAGGAATAATGCTATTGATCGTTACCACGAAATATAGATGAGGCGGTAGAATAAGTGGAATAATGAATTGAATAATGGGATGGAGTAGTTCAATTTTTAGGGGAGAAGGATGAGACAGAGTAAGAAATCGTAACATTGTGGAATAATGTAATTGGATTGTTCAAAATTTATTTGAGAGGGGAGGAGAGAGAAATACGAGGAATAGTGAATTGTCGTATTTTCGTTATTTCATTATCATAATAAAAATAGCATTATTCTTCATTTAGCGTCTCCTGCTCTTTAAATAAACTCTTTTTATGTACTTAGTTTTAATGGCACGTTTACGTAATAAAATATTTTACCCACAAATTCAAAACTTTTTTTTATTTTTTAATCACACATTTTTAAAAATAAAAAACACTAGTTAAAATAATATTTATTCAAAAAATAACCACCAAACAAGGGTTTAAAGGGCTTTTTATCTTGCAAAAACCCAAAAAAAACCTACTTCTAAAGAATTTGTCTCGTCATCAAAATATATTTCTCTTGAGTAGTGTTATTTATAATTAGGAGTTATAGTAACCATCTTACGTGACATAATTTTAATAATTATAAAATAAGAGTTTTTTTTAACCCTTTTTTTAATTATTAAGATTATGTTACATAACATGTCATGTGAAGTGAATATTGCAATCACTGATTATGAATAATATTTGATTCGTTTCTCTTGTTGCCTTTTGAGTTTCTCACCGTCCACTTTAGATCTACAACCTTCTATCTTTGTTGCACTTGTGAATCTTTTTCCCAAAATACCTTTAAGACTACCCATGAGGAGAGTTTTTTTTGTTTTTTTTTTTTTGGCCATAGATGGGAGGTAATCACGGCATAATAAATAAATAAAAAAAGAACGATAATTAAAAGGTGAACGTGTTTAAAAAGAGGAAATTTAGGCAAATATTTCTTTACAAACTAAAATTGAAAAATCTCTACTATTCATAATCAAGCGAAAAATGTCAAATATTTTCTGACAATGTTCAGAATACCCTAAAGCCCCTGTTGGGTACCGATTAAAATTTCGATTTTAATTTAAATTAAAATCAATAATTAATTTTAACCACATATTTTATGAATCTCACAACTTTTTAATCATATATTTCATCACATTCTACTAAAAATCTGATTTTAATTTATACCAAACAAGAGCTTAATGTGACTAGTTGTGCATCTCTCACAAAAAATGATAGAAGAGATAATAACACCCAAAGGCACAACCCTCACACCGTGTGTAGCGACCAAGAAAATAAAATAAAATAAAATCTTGCGATTCATTTTAAAATAACTGTTTTTGTATAAATCGAAAAAATAATTTGAGTTATATTATTAAGTCGCTACGACCCTTTCTAAGAGTTCAAATTAAAGTTTTGATCACGGTAGTAAAGTTTTGCGCACTTGTTTTTAAAATTTTTGTAAGGTATTGAATTTCTCTCAAACAATAATTTTTTTTATGTTGATGACACACGAATGCATTCCTATTTACTTTTTTTTATCCCTTAAATTGACTATTCATTTTTCTCCACTAAGCATACCATTTAATTCATTTACTAAATGTCATAACCTCCAAATCACTTAATGACATTACGGTAATTATAAAACAAAACTTCCATTCATATGAAAGGGTGCCTGAACGGTTTTTTTTAAACCCATAACCTACCATTTATACACCTAATTAATATTTCACTACCATTGTTTTAAATTCCATTTTGGTTACTACCAATTACCATCATCATGTTTGCATTTGAAAAACAATAATCTCTTATAACCTCTAAGGCCACATTTCCTTCCTCAAACTATTTTACCCACACATAATTTTTTCTGCTTTCCTTCCCATAGATACCCACACATAATTTTTTCTGCTTTGCTTCCCATAGATTAAGGCACTTTGAATCTAAAAAAAATTTTAAAAAAGAAATGAAGAGAACGCTGTATTTTATTGAGCGCAAGACAATATTCAAACTCCAAGTGTTTAAGGTAGGGATGTTCACAACACTTTTGTATATAGAGTAAAAATTTTTATTTTCGACTTGCATTAACGTGTTATTGTGTTACTCATGAGAAAATGGAAGCACCCTATGGGTGGTTCAAATAAGATATGAAGAGATGAATTTTGATTCATGAAAAGGGGTTGTTAAAACCTAAGAGTATGCGGACTGAATGATCACGGGCTCATTTTGAAATCGACGGTGAAACAAATAACCAAAGTTTGCAATTCTAAAAAACATATTTTTTTATCTATTTATTTAAGTGTTTCCTACTAAGTATTACTTGTGATACTCACTCCTACAAAATTTATAGATTAATTGAATGCATGGCAAGGATTTGGCATGGTGGCAAGTGCTCGACGATTTGAAATGCTTTGAACTTTTAGTAAAATTTACATTCGTGTAAATTCTTATGAATCCTTAGACGATATTTTTAAAATGTTTAATTTTCTGTTTTGGCCTAATTTTACATTTTGCATGTCAACTATAATTTAGAAACGTTGGAATGACTACGCGTGAAAGTTAATTATTGCTGGATTGAATTTTTGATATTGTCATCCTATTTGAAAGTGGTAAAAGTTGGACTACGGTACAAATTTTAGAGTGAAATTAATGAGGTTTCAAAGATATATAAGTCTTCTAATAGTAATCTTTGGAATTACCCTAAAATATTATCTAGAAAAAAAGTTATGTCCATTTTGGTAGACTGCGTCGAGTTAGTTCCGAATTTTTTGTCCAACATAGATGAACAATATTTTCATATTTCAAACATTATCATTGAGACCCCAATTGTTTATATGATGTAAGTATATGAATGTTATAATCCCTGTTAAAATTTCATTATTTTTCGTCAACGTTTGTTAAGTCAATCATATTTTTCACTTTCAGCTGCTGTATAATGGTATTTGCTGAAATTTCTCCAATGTTTTTCAAAAATCAACTTACACCATAATTTTCTAAAGTCTATATGGACATATATCTCTCATTATAACTTTTATATGTTTCAAACTCCAAAATTTTTCTTATTTACAATTTATTTTGGTTAGTATTAAAGAGGTCAAACAAAGAAGAATATTTTTTTTTAACTCTTCGAGTTCTGAGAATTTGGGGTGTTACAACTTGGTATCAGAGCATGGTTTATTTTCTGTAGACTTACATTAAAAATCATATCTTAGTGCATATTTTCACATACAAATGTGATAAAAATATTTTACAAGGATCCTGAGCACTGTGCCTGCCATAGCCGCGCCGTGCCGATTTTGAGGTAAAAAAAGTTTTATAAATATGCTTGTATCTATGTGATGAGAATGAGAAAGTTTATTCTAGATACAACATTCGAAATGTATGTATGAATATTAATATATGTTGGAATTTGAATACTTTTTGTAGATAATCATTATCGTACCAAGTATTTTAATAATGTGACCAAATTCAATGTTTATTTAAGTCTTCAAAAATTAAGTAAAAATTATTAGATACCCATTAATTGGACTTCGAATAATTGGTATGACACAGATGATACGAATTAAGAAAATTTGTAGGAAGACGAGTTCATCGATACCTCGTCAATATGAGATCGTGAGGCAACATGAAGAGTATCGATGGAATCCAACACACAATATGGCCAGCATATTTGGGATATGTTAGTAAGGTGGAGGTAAGTGAGGTGACTTGGCCATATGGTCACTGGTCGTCAGGCCACCCGTCTTTTTATTGATGCTTTGCCAGAAGAGTGGCTAGAGGTGGCCGAATCGATCTATAATTATTTATGGGAAGTTGTCTGTCTACCTTGCATCGAGAGATTGATTTTGAGGCTTTCAATGCAAAGCTGATTGAACAGTGCGAATTGGCCGGGCTTGCGATTCTCGAGGACGATATTGTACTTACTGAGATGTACATTCATGAAAATGCACCTCCACCTATTTCGGACGATGATGCGCAACCTTCTTAGAAACTTAGGGTTCATGGAGGTTGTACATGGCAACGATGAATAGAGGAGTGAAATTGTTGTGGTTTTTATTAAGTTTAATTATTGTTGATGCCTAGTATGATTCTTTTTTTTTTCTTGTTGATTTGCGCCAAAAGCTCTTTTATTATTTTATATTCCTCTTGAAGGATTATTTTGAGATAATAATAAAAGATGTTGGGTTATAAATTTTTTGTCCTCCTACTTTATGCAAGTATCGTAGACTCTTCTAAGTGAGATTGCAATTATTATGGCATATAAGAATATGGCGCAAGCGAGGACGATTACAGAGTTAAGGCGGGAGATTGATGAGCTGAAACAGGCATTAGCTGCTCAAGCTACGCCTCCAGCACCGCCCGTGTCGCCAACATACTCTGCTGCACCACCTATTTCGATGGTAGAATAGTTTCGTAGATATCGTTGATGGCGAGAAAGACCTTCTGCCAGCTGAGGAGTGGTTACATACTATTGAGAAGATCTTCTAGCATATCTCTTGCCCAGAAGATCAAAAGGTATTATGTGCCGAGTTTATGCTGAGTGAAAGAATAGGCCATTGGTGGGAATCCTCATCACGCACTCGCACCGAAGAGAAACAACGTAATCTAACTTGGACTCAATTCGAGATGAAGTTAATAGAAAAGTATTTCCCGCAAGCTCTGCGATACCATAAGGAGGCGGAATTTTTAAGACTGGTACATGGAGATATGGAAATTTCTGAGTATGAGAGCAAGTTTAAGGAATTGTCCCGATATGCCCCATACCTTGTAAGTACCGAGCTCATGAAGGCAAAACGTTACGAGAGGGGCCTATGCCCATATATCAGGTAGATTGTGAGGTCACACGATCTCACCACCTTTTAGGCAATGGTATAGAAAGCTCAGACAGTGACCTACTCGGTGGTAAAGTTAGTG